GCTGTACCAGTTTACATTCCCACCAACAGTGTAGGAGGGAGCCCATTTCTCCACATCCTCGCCAGCATCTAGAGTTCTCTGATTTGCTCATTTTAGCCACTCTGACTGGCGTGAGGTGGTATCTCAGTGTGGTTTTGCAGGTATTTAAAAAGGAAAAAATCATTCAGAAACCAGGATCTCAGGTGTTTCAGAAACACGGAGTCAGAAACCTCATTCTAATAGACATGTTGCACTTAATATGTCTAAATGGGTCTCTCTTCCTGAACCTCCCCAGTCTGTCCATCCACCTACTTGGCTTAAGCTAAAAACTAAAAACTGCTCCTCTCTTTCCCTCACCCTCCACAGCCGATCCACCCATCAGCCTCATCTAGCCACACACTCTGGCCCCTGACCCTGTGTTCAGTTTCTGTCCACATCCCTCCACCGCTACTCCTACAACACACAGTGCCTCATGGCTGCTCCTCTAGGCTTCGGACACTTTGGGTAGGAAATTCTAGGGTCCTGGGTATCAAATGGGGTCAAGAACAGGTTGATGTGAGCTCTAAATACTCACAGCCCCTTGGACCTGTAGATTCTTCCCCTCGGCAGAGTATAGCCAGAGGAAGCCAGTCAGGGCTTCTACAGCAAGGCCCTGTTGACCAGGAAGGGCAAGGCTGCCCTTGAGTCTGCCGACTCCTCCTCACTGAAGAGACCCATTTCTCTCATCTCCAAGTCACCCATGTCTGACCCATAGCCCCTCATTGGACCCCCGTCACTCTGCTTGCTCCCCATAATCTTTCTTCTCCCACCTCACCCCCTGACCTTGCACCCAGAATGACCTTTTAAAAATATAAATGAGACCATGTCACCACCGTGCTTCAAATCTCCCTGTCACACTTAGAATGAAATCCCAGCTCCCTCCCCTCACAGACTCCTTCAGGGGCAGCTGAGGGCTGGGGAAGAGGGTCACCCACTTTCAGTGATTACTGATGGGGTTGACAGCATGGGCTTTGTCACCAGACAGCCTGGGCTTAGATACTGGTTAACTATTTACCATCTCAGTAAATTTGAGCAATTTCCTTAAATACCTCTTTAAACCTTAGTTTCCTCATCTATAAACTGGTGATGATCTTCTAAGTAAGATTTGTCTTACAGAGTTTGTGTAAAGCACTCAGTACATTTACTCATATTAGCTGATAAAAATAATCACAATAATGGAAACATTAATTTAAATCCAGGGTCTGAATGTTCAACTATCAGCTTTTCACATACTTTCCTAGCTGACAAGCTACACTGTCTATACACTAAATAAGTCAGAAGTTTACTTGTAGAAGACAAAATAGCAATTGAACTAATGGAATAAAAAAACTATAAAACTTATATCTGGAAAATAGCCAGGAAACCACAATACAATTCTCTTAGGTTTTACAATGCCCAGAGAATTCAGAAAGCTCTTACTTCATGTGTTGTATTATTTATTGGGATATGCCCTCATTTTTAATTTAGGTTGAGAAAAAAACAGGGAAAAATCTAAATCACCTAAGGTCTTTCTTATCATTTGAAAACCCATCCCTTATTCAGAGTATGACTTACACCCACAATGTCCCTGCAACTGTCCATCCCCTCTAGAGTTGGGACACCCATATTTCTCAGGGAAGTCATTATATTTACAGGCAACACCAATTTTTATAAGCAACATCATATAAAACCAAAATGTTTTCTATTAATGAATACTCATTTGTCTTTGTTTCACTCTCCTCAGATGTCATTTAAAATCTCTTCCATGTGACAGTCTTTAAATAGCTATAGATAGCAGCCACGTCTCCCACTAAGCAGCCTCTCCTGTAGGCTGAAGTTCCCAGGTCCTTCAATCCTTCATCAAGCACATCTAGACTGCATAATCCTGGGCAAATTTTTCCGAGCATGCTGGTCTGTGAATGTCCCTCTTGAAAGGAACTCCCCGCCCCACACAGTACACATTATCCTCTAGGGGTAATCTTGCCACACTGGAGTAAGATATTACCTCCTTCATTTTGGACATCATATTTTTATTGATATAGTCAAAGATCACATTAGATTCACTGGCGGACACAGTGACTCGCTTGCAGTCAACTAAAACCACTTTTATGCTTTTCATGCATACTTCCTTTAAGTCATGCTCTCCCATCAACATTAGCCTATTTGGTCTTTTCCATCTACCAGAAGGATTTTACATATATTCCCCATCTCCTTCATTTGTTGGTATCTCTTTATTATTCTAGCTTCTCTGGGTCATTTTGGATTATGATTCTATCATCCTTGGGCTAGTATGTATAGTTCCATGTCATACAAGTATGGGATTACCAGGTCATCCATATCTTCATGTTAGTCACTGACAAAGCTGTTGAATGGGCCCCTGCCATCTGCCACCCAGACTTGCTGTCAACCACACAGGGACTCATTAACTACCATTCTTTATTCTCATTCTGCGGTAGACATACCCGAGGGTCACCCCCAATGACTCATGCCCTTGTGTAATCCCTTCCCCTTGAGTGTGGAACCTGTGACTTGCTTCTAACCAACATAACATGGCAAAGATGATGGCAGGTCACCCCCTTGACTTACATTAGATTAGATGACATTATATAACACAGACACAGCAGACTAGAGTGAGAGACTCCCTTGCCAGCTCTGAAGAAGCTGCAGTGTTGTCAGATGGTCATATGGCAATGAACTATAGGTGGTCTCTAAACCAGTACCCCTTACCCACCCCCCACCAAAACTCCCAGGAACCTCAATCTCACATTTGCAAGGACATGAATTCTGTCAAGCACCTGAGGGAGTATGGAAATGGATCTTCCCCAGTCAAGCCTCTGATAAAACCTCAGCCCCTCATTGCCACTGCACCCTGGTGAGAGACCCTGAGTAGAGGACCCAAGCCTTGCGCAGATTCCTGATCCACAGATACTGTGAGATAAGAAATGGGTGTCACCTGGGTGGCTCATTGGTTAAGTGTCCAACTCATTATTTCAGCTCAGGTCACCATCTCACAGTTTGTGAGTTCAAGCCCCCATCAGGTTCTGTGGTGATAGTGTGGAGCCTGCTTGGGATTAGGTGTCTCCCTCTACCCCTGCCCCTCTTGCATGTGCTCAGTTTCTCTCTCTCTCTCAAAAACAAACAAACAGACAAACTTAAAAAAAAAAAGAAATGGGCGGTCTTAAGCTGAGTTTGTAATTTGTTACATAGCACAGAAAACCAACATAACCCATAAATCTATCTAACTGTGCTATAATCCAGCAGCTATTTTCGCCAGCTTGTTCTTAATAGCATCAGTGACAAATGCCTTGGTAAAATTCAGATATGCTATTTTTCATTCTTCTAGTTTAAACAATTGAATAACTATTAATATGAAGAAATAAGATTAGGTTCATGTGCCTTCTTAGTGAACTCCTTGTGATGACTGCTGCTTTCCTGAAAGCTCACAAATTTTCCTCTTCTCAACTTCTTCTCAGGCTTGAAGACAAATTCCCATTCTACACAGTGTGTAGAATCCACCTATATCCTCTTTTTGAAAATAAGGATTACTGTGCTTAACTGGTAGTCTCCTGATACTCTAAAGGTTTTTTTTAAAAGGTTTATTTATTTTTGAGAGAGCAAGCATGAGTGGGGGAAGGGCAGAGGCAAAGGGAAACAGAGGATGAGAAATGGGCTTCGTGCTGTCAGCAGAGAGCCTGATGTGGCGCTTGAACTCACGAACCATGAGATTGTGACCTGAGCCAAAGTTGAACACTTAACCGACTGAGCTGCCCATGTACCCCTAAACTTCTCTTGATTTGAACTGCCTGAGGGCAGAGACCACCTGGGCTTCTTTGCATTCCTCAGAGTGTTAGCATGGCACCTTTGACATAGTACTTACAACTTAAAATAGTTTACGACTGAAAAATACTATTAATATATAATTGCTGCAAATCTTCAGAAGGAGTCTTAATTTGAGCCAAATATTTTCTTTTTTTTTTTTTGAGCCAAATATTTTCAATTTACATGGATGACCTGAATGAATGTAAAACTCAGATTTTATATGCAAGTCATATTTTTCCTCTCCTCTGTGGCCTTATGGTTACTGGGATGGCTATCCATCCATTTGGTTATGACATTTAGGAATAGGAATCTTTGGGGCTCCTGGGTAGCTCAGTCAGTTAAGCATCTGACTCTTGATTTTGGGTCAGGTCATGATCTCATGGTTCATGAGATAGAGCCCCGCATTGGGCTCTGTGATGACAGCACAGAGCCAGCTTGGGATTCTCTCTCTCCCTATTTCTCTGCCCCTCCCCTGTTCATGCTTGTGTTATCTCTCTCTCAAAATAAATAAACTTAAAAAAAATAAGAATCTCTGTGGCCTAAAAAAATTAATCTTGCTTTCAAGGGAGACCAATTTGTAATGACTTGAAAGAGCTAGGCACTGAGAAAGTCCAAATTAAACAAATACTTAATGGACTGCCTTTGACCCTGACCACAAATTCATAGTTAGAACTCTTTCCAAGATGTGGAACTTTATGTCCCCACCCCTTGAGTGTAGGTTGGACTTAGTGACTTATCAGATTATGGTGGAAGTGATGGTAATGTAACTGCTGAGGCTAGGTCATAAAAGGCACATGATTTCCTTTTGTGCTTTTTCTTGGATCACCTGCTCTGGAGGTGGCCAGCTGCCATATTGTAAGAACACTCAAGCAACTTCACATTGCAAGGAACTGAGGCCTCCTGCTAAGAGCCAGTGGGGAACTGAGGCTTCCTGCCAAGAGCCATGTGAATGAGTCATTTTGGAAGCAGATCCTCAGGCCCTGTTAAGGTTTCAAGATGACCGTAGCCCTGGCCAATCTCTTGATACAACCTTATGAAAGATACTGAGTCAGAATCACCCAGCTCAGCCACTCCTGAATTCCTATCTACAGATAGCAAGTGTTTATTGTTTTAAGGTACCAACTTTTAGGGTAGTTTGTTATATTGCAATCAATAACTAATACAAATTCAGAATTTTCACTTACCTTGTAGTATTGTGAAATTCTTGATGAGCTGACCATGCTTGGAGTCTACCAGCTTCATTTCTTCCATAATTACTGATAAGTTGGCTACTTCAGTATCTAACCTTGACCTCATCATGTCTTGTTGCATCCTGAGAGAAACAGAATCCAAACGGATGTTGGCTAGTGTGTTATTCAAGGAGGTCAGATCATCTGTGTGTTTGGTCAGCGTATCTGTGCAAGTGGTCCTGACTTCATTCAGATTGCTGGTCAGCGTCCGCAGGTAGTGGGCAGTATAACTGATGTTGCTAATGATGTTCACAATATCTGTCTCAAAGAGCTGGAAGCGTTCCTCCAACTGGCTGAACTTGATGGCTGTTCTGTTCTCTGCATCCTTGTGTACATCCTGCAGGTCTTTTAGGTTCTGCTCATTGGCTTGTGAGGCTGTGGTGATATTGTCCATCTGACCTGTGAATGAACTGAGCTGGCTGTTCATATCCTCCAGGGTGTCATTGTTAGCTTTGGCCAAGGCGGAGTTATTGGCAGCCAGCGTCTGTAAGCTCTGCACTTTCTCCTTCAGCCAATCAGTATCCTTCTTGGCTTGAAGGAAAACCTGCTGCAGATTTTGGAAGTCGTTCTTGATTCGCTGGATGGCCTGGCTTGTGTCATCCACAGATCGCTGCAGATTAGTGATGAGGTTCCTCTGCTGCAGCTGGGTGAGGTTCAGGTTGTTGAGGTTCATAATGACCACGTTATGAGAGTACATCTGGCTCTGCAGATTGCCCTGCAGCACGCTGGTGTCTTGCTGTAGGTTGGTGACATAGCCATTATATGCTTGGAGGGTTTTGTTTACAGTGGTGATGAGGAAAGAGTTATTCTCCAAAGTTTCTTTCAGTTGACTTTGCCTGTCTACCAGCGCATCCCCACTTGCCTGTAACTTCTCCAGCGTATCTATGTTCTTGCTGGTTTTCTCTGTAATCTCACGAAGCTGCTGGCGAAGATCTAGTATGTCTGATCTGAAGGTAGAGAGTTCTGAGTTGGTGCTTATAGCTTTCTTCCCAGTTTGGTCCCCTGGAATAAGACATGTTTTGTTACTTAGATTGGTGATATGAAGAAATGTTCACATGAGGTCAAAGATCCCAAAGAGACTTAACTGGTACACAATGCTCACTTCAGATATAAAATGGTGGTATATGCAGACTGCTCTGCGTTAGCAAAACCCGTGTGTCTGTTAAAACTGGGTCCTGGGGTAAGTGGAAAGGGTGCTAACTTTGTAAGTGCTTTTCTCAAAGAAGGAGGAGAATCCACCAGATTCTAGAGCACTGGGCAGGGTGTCAAGAAGGAAAAAAAAATCTCTTTATTAAATTTACCATTAATTCCTTCCTTTAAAAATGGAAACAAAAAAATCTAAGGATAGAACAAGCTGGAATCTTTCATTTTTAAAAAATTAATTTCCAGTTTACATTCCCACCATCTGGTACAGCCCCTCTGGAAAACAGTGTGGAGGTTCCTCAGGAAACTAACAATAGAACTCCCCTATGACCCAGCAATAGCACTGCTAGGAATTTACCCAAGGGATACAGAAATGCTGAGGCATAGGAGCACGTGTACCCCAATGTTCATAGCAGCACTCTCAACAATAGCTAAAACATGGAAAGAGCCTAAGTGTCCATCAACAGATGAATGGATCAAGAAGATGTGGTTTATCTATACCATGGAATACTACATGGCAATGAGAAAGAATGAAATCTGGCCATGTGTAGCAACATGAATGGACCTTAAGGGTGTTATGCTGAGCAAAATAAGTCAGGCAGAAAAGGACAAATACCATATGTTTGCACGTATAGGAGGATTAGGAGGAACTTAACGGAGGAACAAGGGGGAGAAGAAGGGGGGAAATGGTGGGGGAAAGGGAGAGAGGCAAACCATGAGAGACTCTTGAATGCTGACAAAAACTGAGGACTGATGGATGTGGGGGGGAGGAGGGATGGGCATGGAGGAGGGCACTTGTGGGGATGAGCACTGAGTGTTATGTGGAAACTAATTTGACAATAAACTATTTGTAAAAAAAATTTTTTTTAATTAATTTCCATAATTATTCAATGTAGTTTACAGCATTTCAAATAGGAATTTACTAGACATTTTCTAAAAGAGCTTTTATTAAAGTGTATTTGTGGTTCTTTTTGATCAGGATTGGTCTTCAGATTTGTAAATGCTTATTTAGTTTTGAGAAAAAGAGAGAGAGAACATGCACAAGCAGGGAAGAGTCAGAGAGAGGGGGGGAAACACAGAATCCAAAGCAGGCTCCAAGCTCTGAGCTGTCAGCATAGAGCCTGACATGGGCCTCAAACTCAACGAACTGTGAGATCATGACCTAAGCCAAAGATGGATGCTTAACTGACTGAGCCACCCAGACGCTCCTGGTCTTCAGATTTCAACTGACACATAGAGTAGTTTTGGGGGGTGGGGAGAATCCAAATCTAAAATTTCTTTTTAACTTTCAACTGTAGACGTCTTTAAATTAAATCATAAGGAAAAATTCAACACACAACACAAAAATTTAATGTCCTCTGGGTGAATGTGAGTTTACAGCAACATCATTCTATTTTTTTAACTTTGTTTATTTACCTTTGAGAAAGAGAGAGAGAGACAAAGTATAAGTGGGGGAGGGGCAGAGATAGACAGAGACACAGAATCCAAAGCAGGCTCCAGGCTCTGAACTGTCAGCACAGAGACCAATGAGGGGCTTGAACTCATGAACCGTGAGATCATGACCTGAGCCGAATTGAGATGCTTAACCAACTGAGCCACCCAGGCACCCCTAGCAACATCATTCTGAAAAGCTTTGGTCATTTAACAAAGAATTAGAGGATTTAGTTTAATGAGTCATACTTGTTGCAGATTACCTAATTTTTTCAGGTCGCTTTCCACTGCTGTGAGCTTGTCATCATAGGTTTGGCGAGATGTCTCCATGCCACCTGTAACATTGTCCATTTTTTCTACAACTAAGATTTGGAAATTAGATTAGTACATACACCTCATAATTTATTTTTCAGTTTCAGCAAAAGGCCATTTCATTACAGAATACAGGAAACAGACTGATACAGAGTATAAATGAAATCAAATATTAGGAAAAAGCCACTCTTTTAGAAAAATAACTTACTTGTCACAAAACCCAGTGATAGTTTATTTGGTTGACTGTTCAACCAAATAACTGTTCTTATGATTCTTAACTGTTCTTATGATTCTGTATTGCCTTAGATGTTCTAGACATTGTTTGAAACTAATTTTTAATTTTTATGTATTATATAAGCTTTCAATCTGTATTATTTTTTCTAGTAACTTCCAAAGGTCAGAGGTATAACACTGATCATTTACAAAATCTTATCATTCATCAGACTCCCTACCATTCCTGGAAGGTGGCACTCAGTTATCTGGAAGGAGAGTCCATAGCAAAGAACACCTAGCCTAAATTTTTTTTTTTTTACAAATAGTTTATTGTCAAGTTGGTTTCCGTATAACACCCAGTGCTCATCCCCACAAGTGCCCTCCTCCATGCCCATCTCCCTCTTCCCCCTCCCACACCCATAAGTCCTCGGTTTGTTCTCAGCATTCAAGAGTCTCTCATTGTTTGCTTCTCTCCCTTTCCCCCACCATTTCCCCCCTTCTTCTCCCCCATGGTCCTCCATTAAGTTCCTCTTAATCCACCTATACGTGCAAACATATGATATTTGTCCTTTTCTGCCTGACTTATTTCGCTAAGCATAACACCCTCAAGGTCCATGCATATTGCTACACATGGCCAGATTTCATTCTTTCTCATTGCCATGTAGTATTCCATTGTATAGATAAACCACATCTTCACCTAGCTTAAATTCTATAAACAGTCTTTGCAGAAGGGACACAGTGTTAGGCACTCTCTTTCAGGAGGCCTGAAAAATCTGCTTCTCCTTAGTGACAAGTGAATCTGTAGTTATCAGTTCCCAAAGAGATGCCTAAGTAGGTTTCCAAACAACGATCTATGAAGAAGACTTTTCCTTTTTTTAAATTTTTTAAGCATTTTCTTGATTGTACATGATAGAGAACGAGTCAGTGATACAATGTTAAATAAAAGCTTCTGTTATCTTTGTTCTCAGAAGGTAGTCATTCTCTATGGTTGTAAATATGGTTTCTTTCTAAAATATCTATTAAGATTGTATTTCTCCAGAAGTGACTCCTGTGAGATCCAACCTCTAGCAGCTTGATATCGAGTCTTTCTTGGTATCAATGGTTTTCTGAAAATAAGGACTTTATTATTTTTTTTTAAGCATGAATACGTTTTGTCTATTAATTGTGAGGCAGTGGAGCTAGTTTATTTTTATTTATCAAGTGACCCACCCATGCATGACTGTGTGAGAAGATTCTCCTGGCTCCTATCAGGAAGCAAAGCACACTCCATGTGTCTGTATGACCTAAACTGAACCAGCCCTGTGGCGCATAGCACCTTCCCTGGAGAACCTTGCCTGCTCTCCCTCAAGCTTCTACAGTGTGGCTATAATGAAAGAAATGTGTGCATTGTACCAAATACTTTCTCACCCAAGCCCTTCCATGTGCACTTCTTTCTACCTAGAATGTCCTTCCCTGGACTCTCCACCACACTAACCCCTACTTCAAGATTCAACTCATTACTTTCTGTGGGAAATCTTTGCTGCTGGGCATCTTGCAGAATTCTTTTGGCAAGTAGCCCTTTCCCTACTGTAGGACTTCCTTCACTGTGTTATCATGGCTTGTTTTCTATTAGATCCTTTAAGGCCGGAAAATTTGTATTCAGTTTTATCCGTACCTCTTAGTGGGTGGCACTTAGTAGGCATTCAACACATATTTGTTTATTATGCTCTTTATTTAAATAAGTGAGAGTTTGCCTGCAGGAAACTGAAGCCTGTGAAAAACTGGCTGAGCTAGACACACAAACCGGCCACCCCAGGGAAGCCTCAGCACTGGCAATGAGTACAACATCCGGTTGAATGATGATTTTTTTTTAAGTGACTATATAGACAAGAGAGGTATAGTTATAATAATCTGTACCTTAGGATTGTTAGATAGACATGCACATTCATAAATCCCTGAAACTCTGAACAAAATGTTTCATCTGCATTTTAGCAAAATTAAGCTTTTAAAAAATAAAGTATAAAATGTTTATGAGTTAAGATTCAGTTTTGATCCTCAAATCAAAACACAAGCCTCAGTCTGTCCTCAAACCACACACAGGATCTTAAGTCCTGCCCTTTTTTCCCCAGAAGCCGAAGAAACCTCTAAATATGCTGACAGGCAGTTATTTTTCTATCCTCTCTAATTTTTCTTCCATTTTAGTTTTAAAAAACACAGAACTTTCATGGACAGATAATTCAGGTTTGCGCAAAGGAAATAAATACATTCTCTACAAACAAATAACAAACCTGTTAGGTTTCTCTTTTGCACAGCAAGGAAGCTATTTGCCCTGGCCACAAGTGCTAATGAACTGGTTACACGCACTGGGGTGTGTGCGTCTGTGTTTAAAAATAGGATCTGGGTATAAAGCTGCAAACTTCTGGGCTGCAAAGCTAGCAGCTTGGTATTGCATAAACATACAGCTTGGCTGATGGACATCCAGAACCAACACCTGCTGTATTTGCACACAGCATTTTCATCGATTTTTATTTACTTTTAACTTATCAGCACAAGTAGTCAACCAGGAAAACAGTGGCAGAGCCATCCTCTCTTAGACTAGAAACTCTTAGTCTGTCGATGCAGATCCTTCTCATGTGAGGAAAATAAACATAAAACAGAAGAGCTCCTAGCAGTCTGTTTTTTCATGGGCTCCCCTTTATCGCTGCTTCAGATATTATACCTAAAGGGTTGGCCCTCTTCAAGTACCCAAAGCCTATTTCTCTAGGATAATCTGACAGTAATCCCTTTTCTACAAAAGCAGTTTGGCACCATCCCTTGGTCTGGACCATCAACCTCCTTGCCTTTTAGTTCTACCCATCCTTCAGGGTCCACTCCAAGATGACCACCCCAACTGCACTAAGCCTTCCCAGATGACTGGATTCCATACCACACCAATAAGAACACCAACAACAGCCTCTATTTATTGAGGGCCTACTCTTTGAGAGGTGCACTGTACCATCACTGCAGTTAATCCTTAAAACTGCTATTTTATAGATGAAGAAATTGAGGCTCAGAGATGTTCAGTAGCTTGCCCAGAGTTACACAGCTTGTAAATGACTAGTGGGGCTGGCAGGCCAGGAGATCTAATTCCAAAACCCATGCTTTCCCTATAATTCCACATTGCCTCTTATTTACTATTCTTTCTTCCTAAATATGGTTCCTTCCCACAAGAGAAATAGTTCATGGTCCAGGCCCTGGGGACAAGGAACAGCAGCAGGGCACAGAGCTCCTGCCTGGTGCTCACAAGTGTCTGCCCAGACTGACTAGGGGATGTTGGGGTCGGGGGGGGAGACACATCCCTGCATTGGGACCTGGGACTTCTGGGAATACCAGCTACACTCCCCTGGAAGGTAACAAAGACATTTCTACCTTGAACACTGTTTCAGGTTTCATTACAAAAATACAGGAGATCTGGTTGTACAGTGTTACCCTGGCTTCTAATGTAGCCACTCAGTGTGATTTGATGCACATTTGGAAAACCTACTTATCCAGTTGTCACTGCTAGTTTAGAAGAGCTTAGCAGCAAGGTAGACATTCTGTGACTAAGAATGTTGAGTTATAGGAGATTCTGCTTGAGAAAAATTCAGATTTCTTTCTTCTTTAGCCTAATTACCTTAAGATGGATGACTGCTGGGCAAGACAACTGAGTACAATTTTCCTGTTCAGGGAATAGTTTTGGAGGAAACACAACTCACTGCAATTAAGAGATGGCTTCTTCCATGGAAGCTCCATGACTGAGGATAAAAAGTCCAAGCAGAGAATGCTCCAAGCTGAAATAGTCCAGGAACATGCTTTCTATAAAGTAGTTCATGAGTGTCATGGTCGCAGCCAGTGTACAGACCTGTGTGGGTGACTCAGCAGTTCCCTGACCTGTGCAGCAAATTCTCTAGAAGGAACTTAAGTTATATCCCAACTTGTAGCTGTCTGAGTGACATAAAAGGAGAAGTAAAAATACAATTTTGAGAAAAACAGTATGGAGATGCCTTTGCTAACTCTGATACATAAAGCAGTTTCTATTTTATTTCCTTTCTGACTTCTCCTTCATAGAAACATCTTCTTTCTCTGAATATTCTTTCTTCTTCCTTTCTTTTTTGAAATGGACAGAGTTTCTCTAGACTTCAAAGGGAGACATGGGAAGGGAGAACTAGGTCTTATCTTTCTGCCTCTTACAATGTGGGGTTACCAGAATCTTATTAGCAAGAAAGAAGAATTGGTGTGCAAGTAAAGAGAAAACACACCTGGAAAATATCCACACTTTAGTTCATTAGGACTATGTTTGGAAACCAAAACTGCATGTTGTATTATCTTATATTTTGCAGTAGATGCCTAAGGGATGGGGGCCCCTGAAGGAGGAAAAAGGGGCAAGACTATCATCTTGTGTCCACTTGTACTTGGCTCCTTCAAACTCTCCCCACTTCATCCTGGAGAGATTACACCCACAGAGAAGGCCATGCTGATCTTCAGGATTTTAGGCTTACAGGTAGGGCTCTGAGTGATAGCAATGCCTTAAGTGCAGAATGGTTTAGAGTCCCTGGGAACTGCCTGATAGTCTTTACAGAAGTCAGCCCTGATCTACCATCCATCCATCCATCCATCATTAATTTATTCAGTAAATTCGCTTGGTCCCTAATAAGCACTATGAGGTAAGGTACTAGATAGGAGATGTAACCAACTAAAGACAGGAGTCTCTGGTCTTCACAGAACTTATAGTTTGGGTGGCGAGACAGACAAGCCCAATGGCCATAATGATACAGTGGGACAGGGGTTAAGTGTAAATAAAGGAGTGCTGAGGAAACGAATAGGAGGGCACCTAACTCAGCCTTCCGGGGCTTCTCACTTCTCCCCTCTGAGTGAGACATGAGGGGGAAAGAAGGTGTCATTTTAGCTACAGAGCAGAGAAAATGTGTTCCAGACAAATGGACCAGCACACGCAAAACATGCCAGAGCTGAGAAGGTCTTTCAAATGTCATAAAAATGGAAGAAATATCTGTACTTTAAAACAAACAAACAAAAAACCAAAACCCTCCTTTCCTTTGCATCTTTCTGTATAATTCTAAAGGCATAAAGATCCAGATCTTACTTCTTTGCAATGGTAAAATTACAAAATCCCATATGGTGATATGCTCTTCAAACCTTCATCATCTCTCTTTCCTAGTAAATATTTGCTTTCGTGATATCACATAATACTGAGCCCTAAAGGTACTTATTAAATGGCTGTTTGCCAAGCTTCTCCTTTATCTGCTGAGTTTGCTGGAAAAGTCAAGGAGAAGTGAGTAGTGACCTAAATAATTTGGTAAAGGAGGAGAGCCAGTCTGAATTACCTGGGACATAAAAGACCCTTCTTTTCCTCACTGGGATCCCTCCCCCATTCCCTGTCCTGCCTTACCACAATTTAATAACCTTTCTTAACACTTACTTTGTTAATACTAGCTTGGATTAACTAATCACAAATGGGTAAAATTACCTGGTAATTTCTCAAATTTCTACTGCTCAAATTCATCAGTCAACACACTACAGGATGCACATAATTTTCCATGTGTGTGTCCTCAGAGATGAGACTTCCAAGCCTCACCAACACTAAGTATTTTTAACATTTTACCATTCTAATGGCTACAGCTGTATAAATGCAGGTATGAAGAAGAAACACAGAAATATAGCCACTATCTAGTATGACTAGATGGACAGGTGGTTCAATGACATCATCTTTGCTCATCTCAATCACCTTGAAAAATGGCATTATTAGTTGCCATTTTAAGAAATAAGAAACTCAAAGAAGTTATGATTCATACCCAGGTTACACAGCCATGCAGAGAACTTAGTTCTAGGCATGGAACTTATGCCTAGTATATCAGCAAGCACTTAGCAAACATTCACAATTATATTACAAATGGCAGACTCAAGAATGAACTTGACCATTTGGCTCCAAAGCCCATTCTCATTTCAACACAGTGGATTTCCTCAGGAAACCTCTAGTCACTGGGAGAGAGGAGATAGGAGTTAAAGGCTGGGGGGAATTCACTTTGAATCTTCCTCTCCCCAAGGAGAGAAAGTCTAAAAACCAAGAACACGTGGGAATTCTCCACTGTTAATCTGTCAGTTCTGAGGGAAGGCAGCCTGGATGGCTGCTGAGTGAAGGTTTTGAAGATTAGCAGACCCCACATCTGCCGCTTGCTGAAACCAGATGACATGCCTGTCTCACATGTCTTTGATGGAACGGCTTCCATGGCTGTTTTCTGTAAAAAGGTTTATGTAGCTTGTGATTCTGAATCATGACACCTTTTACCTGCAGTGTCTGGAATAGGTGTGGCGGCGGCAGTGGTGGTGGTAAACCCGCTTTGTTTGCAAGTGAGGGTTTCAGGCAAAAATCCTCCACTGACCTGAAACCAGACACACTGAAAGAGTACCTAACATCCTATAAAGTATTGTTGAGGTGGCAGTCCTCCCTCTGTGTTTAACTTCTGCAGGGCAATAGTTTTATGGAGCTATATAAACAACAGTGGTCACAGTAAATGTGCTGAAGAGGAAAAAAAGGGAACTGCCTGCCCAGTCCCTGTGTAAAGTAAGTCGTATCTCTGGAGACTGTGTTTGGCTTACCCTGTGTCAGTACAATTTTCCTGTGTGCTGACTCCAGGGTTTCCATAGGACTTCTTAGAGAGAAGATGAAAAAAACACTGAAGAGGGTGGAGCAAGAAACAGGTAGGAAAATGCAACAATGAGGAAATACCTTTATAATTCATAGAGGACCTTTATCATTGTTGAAATGAGTCAAAAGGAGTCTGATCCCACAAGAGGCTCAATACACAAAGTTTATGATGTTGCTTACTTTTGCATTTGAGTTGAATTAATGAGATACTTCATACTTGCAAACATGGGTGTCTTTTTTCTTCATGTTTAAATTCATAAAGAAACCCTGCTATTTGGAAGGAAAAAGGAAAGAGTACTTACCTTTGTATCCCAAAATGGCTACTGTGATTGTTAGCAAGGCACACAAAATGTATAATAATATAATAGAAAACTTCAGTGCCCAGTTATTTTTACATTTGGTACACTGCGTTCCTTCCTGGATACCTGTAAGAGAAGTCAGATTTTAATAATAGTAACCAAAGATCTCATTTTGAAAACTATTTTTCTGCATGTTGTTTCAAACACTATAATTAGAAATAATTTTTCTGGGGCTCCTGGTTGGCTCAGTTGGTTAAGAGTCCAGCTCATGATCTCAGCTTAGGATTTGATCTCAGGGTCTTGAGCTCAAGCCCTGGGTTGGGCCCTATGCTGGGCATGGAGCCTACTTAAAAAAAAGAATAAATTTTCCATATGCCTTACTATAGGATGAGTGGTATTATTTCTTAAAGTTTATTTATTTATTTTGAGTGAGAGAGATTGAGAGAGAGAGAGAGAGAGAGAGCGAGCACACAGGGGAGGAGCAGAGAAAGAGAGAATCCCAAGCATGCTCCACACTGCTCTGCACCAGCAGCTCAGAGCCTAACATGGGGCTTGAACTCATAAACTGCATGATCATAAAAGATCATGACCTGAGCTAAAACCAAGAATAGGATGCTTAATTGACTGAGCCACCCAGGCGCCCCAGAATGAATGGTATTTTAAAATTAAACATACCACTTTAGCAACATACACACTATGAATAATGCCATTATGTTGTAATTATTTAATGTTGTATTTAATGATGACTTGGACGTATGCATATAACTTTGTCTCAGAATAATTTCAGATCAAATTTCATTATAATTTCAATAAAAATCACTACATGACAAAAATTATAATTTCAGTAAAAATCTCTACCTGACAAAAGACTTTAAACACCCAAATTTACTTGTTTCAGCTATTATTTGACCTATCGCAATTCAAACACAACCAACCAAAAAAAACTGTGACCTGTCCCTTAATGTTTGTTTTAGTGCTATGCTTGCGCTAGTTCCTACTGGCTTTACAAGAGTCAACTGTTAAGTTTGTGGGAATTTGGGTAGCTGGTTGTTAAACTGTTGGTAGCTTGAAGTCAGCCCCGGAGGGAGTGTTTACACCATGGAAATTGGCAACCACCACAAACTGTAACACGCATTCATACCCCTCACCCCCACCCTCCTGACGCTGAACTGGTTTACTATGCCACTGGCTGTAATGCACTATAACCTACAGCAGAAAATATAGGTAACTTCATGATTAAAATGCTCAATATATAACTATTTTGGCACATTATATGTATACAGAAAACAGACATTGATCCTTATTTATGTTATCACAGTGACTTGAGTAACAACCAGGAAACTAGAAAAACCAGACATTTAAATAAAGTTTTTTAAATGTTTTATTTATTTTTGAGATAGCATGAGGAGGGTCAGAGAGAGAGGGAGACACAGAATCTGAAGCAGGCTCCAGGCTCTGAGCTGGCTGTCAGCACAGAGCCCGACGCAGGGCTCGAACCCACTAATCATAAGATTGTGACCTGAGCTGAAGTTGGATGCTTAACTGACTGAGCCACCCACGTGCCCCAAAACCAGACATTTTTGATGAAAGGAGGTAAATCTTTACTGCTTATAGTTCAACTTTTTGAAAAACATTCTAGTTTAAGTGATAAACCACCATCACTTCTGCAAGTGACTCTAGAAACTAAGCTATAAAAAGGGAATTTTGCATTAAATTGATTAGAAACACAGAAGACAAAAGACAGTGGACATTTAAATGTGAAAATCACATTGTAAGAAATATTGGGAGATCCCTTGTTTTCTTCCTATGTGTGTCTTACTAACAGCGTCCCACAGGAGCAACAGCACGTAAGTACTGATCTCTTATAATTGTGCTCAATAACTTTTGATGGGTAAGTCGTGAGGATTAAGCTACAGACAAAGTTCTCCCCCCCTTTTGGTTTGCAATTTTACGCATAGTGCCCTTCTTCAGTGAAAAGAGTTCTTCAGCTGTGTTTAATGCAAAATGATGAGAGAAACAGCATAGAACAATGACTCCATTTTAACTTTCAGGGTTTAACCAATCCCTCTAGTGTTCTGTGCTACAGACCCAAGGGGAGGGGGTTCAGCCCATCTGTTCCATGACTTAGAGCAGTGATTCTCAAGCTCTGGGGTGCATCGGACTCATCAAAATACAGCCTTTCTAATTTAGGAGGCCTGAGAAGGTGCCTGAGAATTTGGATTTCTAACAAGTTCCCAGGGTATGCTGTCACTGCTAGTCTGGCTACCCTGCTTTACAACAGTGCTTCTCAAACTGTAAAGTGCTTACAAAATACACTGTTAAATGCAGATTCTGATTTAGAAGGTCTGAAGTAGGAGCTAAGATTCTGCATCTTTTTTTTTAATTTTTTAAATGTTTTTATTTATTTGTGAGAGAGAGAGACAGCGTGAGCAGGGGAGGGTCAGAGAGAGAGGGAAACACAGAATCTGAAGCAGGCTCCAGGCTCTGAGCTAGCTGTCAGCACAGAGCCTGACGCGGGGCTCGAACCCACGCACGGTGAGATCATCACCTGAGCCAAAGTCAGATCCTTAACCGACTGAGCCACCCAGGCACCCCAGGAGTTAAGATTCTGCATTTCTAACAAGATCCAGAAGATGCTTAGTTGGAGAAACTAAGAGCTAAGGTTTGAGAAGAGCTAAGGTTTATTGAGAAGGTATCGTGCTGGATCAACCTTTGAATAGCCAATCCCTTGAAGGTGAAGCTGTAAAATTAGATTCAATGGTCAAACAGACCTAGAGAAAATCAACTTCTCTCTCTTTTTTTTTTTTTAAATCAGCTTTCCTATGTCTTTTACTCTGTTTCCTTTCTATCCTCCTTCTTTAATTGCCACCTGTATGTCTCCATACCACCTCTCCTGTCCAAAACTGACCTTGGTACCACCTTCGCCAAACCAGATCTCTAACTTGCACCAATGTCCATATTTCCATCCAACCTAAATACTACCACTATCTGAGTCCCTCACTCAAAGACACACTCACGTTTTCTCTTGTACTTATTCTTTAATTCACTCAGTTGCCAGGCCCTGCAAATCCCTCCTGGGGATATTTTTATCACGATTATCTCATCTCTAGCTTACTGCTGTTCATTTACTGCCTACACTGTACCAGGTTCTGAGCAAGGTACTTTCCACACAGCATCTTTATTTGTAACAGCCCTTCAAGGAGGCATGGCAGCGAGAGCTGAAATGACATCCCACACACATCACAGCCAGGATTCAAACCTGGGTCTGTCCAACTTCAAACGCCATGATCTCACTTTGCTATGGTGACTCTCTCTGGTCATCCCTTCATTTCAATTTCACTGACCCTTCATCTCAGTGGGAGCTTCCGCTTCCATTCTCACTGGAATCCAGCCTCACCCTGTGCTCAGATGCTGCTGTCCTCATGACAGTGCCAAAGAAGAAAAAAAATCATCCTTGAATAAAGGATAAACCCACACACACACACACATCAACTCTTAGTTTCTCTATAATCTGGCAGTTTAAAATCAAACAAAGAGCCCTTACATCAGCCAGAATGAAAATATTTTTGGAATTGGAGAGGGGGTAAGTGTAAGTAGACCCACAAACACGCCACATCTCATGTTCAGAAACCATAAACTTGCTTTGGTGGCAACTATAAACACAGAAGGATGATAGACACAGCAACGCTGGACCGACCTCCCTTGGAAATACTGGATGACATTTTTATGACTGATGTGGGGGGGGTGTTCATTCCTTTTGGATTTTAGGACTGTGGTGGGTAAGCTCTTTATGTCTCTCCAGGGCTATTTCTTGCATTCTATTAGCAGAGCCTCGGAAGAGTTGCTCACAGGGGAGGTTGGGGTAGATAACAGAATCTAGGGTGAAGAAGTTGCTTAGAGGTCATCTGGTCAAGTGTCATTGAGTTATTGATGGGGAAAGTGAGGCCAGTGAGGTAAAGCAAATCAGGAGCCACGCGTCCTCACTCTTAGGGCAAGGGTCTTTCCCTCCCATTCTGACCATGTGTGCTAGTGCTGTGTTTGCCACCAGACATCTTGTGCATGTGGTATTCATGCAGATCTGCTCCCAGACCGCTGCTACTGGCTCACATTCTGAAGAGCAGAGTTATTTCCTCATGATGTGCTTTTCTCACTGCTGGCCTAATCAAGTATTTAATCAATATCAGATGGCATCGCCTGGCCTCCCTTTCCACTTGACACACTTTCTGTGTCTTGTTTTTTCTCTCCCTAGAGACTTATTTTTAATAAGAATTCTGTTTTATCTTTCTCTCTCTGCCCTCTGCTGGGAGGACACCTGGCCAAACATACAGATGCCTACTACAAAGAGATCCTGCTGGCTCACGTAGCTGGGGGACCCCCTCCTCCTTGAACCTAGATGGTCACAAAAAACATTCGAGAGAGATATCCCCCTGTTACCAGCCTTTGTACTGTTTGTTTTCTCAGCATTACTTTCCAGAGACTGGGGACTTTGTTCCTGTTGGAGGGGATGGGGTGGAAGGAAGGGCAAGGGAATCAATCTGCAGAGCACTGGAGAGAAGACATTCTAGTTTAGGAAGTGAAGCAGTTTTGCCGCTGTACCACCAGCACACTCAGTGGATCAAAAAATCTGGCCCAAATAGCACATTTGTGATTCAGCAGGCCACAGACAGATCGTGCCTGAAGGATCCATGCTTTTCCATTGGTTATCCCCCTTAAACTAGATCCCACTGAACTAGATTCTTGGCTCCTGTTTTTAAATGTGTTTTCCATGGTCCCAGTCTTTCTTATGTGAAAATAAGTTTGGGGGCCCAGTGAAGTCAGAATCACTCTGGTTAAGTCCTTGCGTATCCCACAGAACTTCAGAATAGGCTGACAATTTGGTCCCCAGGGCCCAAACTCAAAGTTCCTCGTGTTGCCCTGTTTCCAATAACACATGTTTAAAGTAAGAAGGATGAGGGCCGGGTGGGGCTGCTGACCAGGGGGCTGGTGGTTAGCTGGTTGGAGAGAATAACTGCAACACTGCAGGAATGACAGTGCAAAGGGCCAGAATTCTCCAGCAGAGAATTCCTTTCTGCTGTGGTTCTCCATAAAGAGCCCTCCCAAGTGCTGTGGTCCAGGCTCCAATCCAG